ACATGGCCACGCGTAGGAGCGGATATCAAAGTACAAGAGCTCAAGTTGCTGCTCTCACTTGAGGCTGGCCTTGTTTAAAAATTCACTAGCTGAAATTCTTTTCCACAGCTCACTTTTGCATCACTAAGAAGTCCCAGATCATGGTCATCTAACTTCCAGCCAGTCAACCTTATCTCTTTTAAGTAATTCAGTGTAGTTAGCACTTGGCTCATTTTGCAGATTAACAGTGGGTCAGGTACCAAGTCACATTTGCTGCTAAAGTCTAAAAATCTCAACTTGTTGAGATTCACCAGTGCCTGAACGAAGGAAAGCCAGCCATTACTTGTCACACAGTTCATTGCCAAGTCTAAATGCTGGAGGTCTTCCAATGGTGTTTTCTCAAAAAATGTACCTGCGAACATATACAAGTATACATTAAAAAGTGACCGGATATAACTTTAATTAAGCCCCCAATTCAGAAAACAATCCCTATTAGGGCAACACTTGAACACATGCTCTAGTCTTGTTGAAGCCATGAGGACTTAATGCATGCTTAAAAATTGAAGTTTTGACTCAGACTTAAAATAGCCTTACATATTGGGGGTGGAGGCTGGGGGGAGGGGTTTCTGCGTGAATAACTACCAAAGCAGAAGTATCAATGGCCACGGGCTACATTGTGTTACTCATACCAATCCCAAGCTATTCTTCATTAAGTCTCAAACACAGAGTTTGCTGAGTAAAATGGGATCCTTCTACCCACAAAAAGATTAATTGACTTTACGTGTTCTACATATTCATGCCAGGGTCCACCAATGCACAAAATATTACAGGGTCAGCACCATGGAAAACTGTCATTCATTTCAACTTTGCTTTTCCCTTTGGTATGCTCAGATGTAGTAGACAGTGGCAGCTTCAGGAAACTGGGTGCAGCTTTCTGATCCTCAGCTGTTGCCTCCTGCAGAGCGTTAGCTAAGCAAGGGGTCTGACCTAACTTTGCCACTGGGATAAGATCTGTAATAGATGCCAGATCAGGGAAGATAAGGCATACTGGGACCCCACTCAGCCCTACACTTGACTTACCTCTGTGGCTGGTACAGGAGTTGGAACAATTGCCTCTGTTAGTAGACAGGAAATTCTGCTCCAACAGTCTCCAGCTGTTTTAGGGTCCCTTGCATTGCTTATGCAATTTGTTTAATTAAATTGCATTTTTATTTCTATCCCACACAAACCCACTGTTATTTCATTTCTATTATTAGAAACCACTAACAATAGAAATGTGAAATCATGAAACTGAGTTTCTACTTTACTCTCAATTCATTCCACATCATTTGAGGCTTCCTAATTTCCAGTATTTATTTTTGTTCTGCTTTTGTCCATCTTTCATCCTTCTGCAGTAATTGTACTTACCTAGAACTTTAACCTCAACATCAGTAAGGCTCCATCTATTCAATCCGAGTTTTGTCAGCTGTGGCATTGTTTTGAGCTGCATTAGCAGCTCGCTCAGGCAGACATTCACATCATCTCCCCAAGGAAGCATCAGCACTTTCATATTTGGAAGGATGTTAAGGCTGTTAGCTATATAAAATGATAAATGTCATTTCAGTGATTGTTACAGTTCAGTGTAAAATCATAGAAGAGAGTTAAATTACACTGACTTTCACACTCTAAGTGCCTCAGCAAAGAATGACTGAGCAAACAAAGCAGCCGATTGCGCTCATAATCTGTCACCCATCACCCTGTGCAATGCAACCTGCTATATACTGAGATGGAATGATTCTAGAGTTATTTCTCACTTAAAAATTAATTCATTTATATCCATCTGTACAGACCCTAACATGAGGTGTATCCCTCAATTTAACTTTTCATCAGAAGAAATCTTTTGTCTTACCTAGTTTACGAACTGCAACTTTTCCATCCTTTCCCAAATAATTTTCAGATAAATCAAGTACATTCAGTTTTGGTAAATTACAAAGATTCTGAGCTAAGAGATATAAAGAAAAATCTTGTTATTGCTGTTTTAATTGCAGTCAGATTCTTGTACCAGTTGTTTCATCACCATAACAGTTAAAAAGTCCTTCCTAATATCTAACCTAAATCTTCTTTGTTGCAAATTAAGCTGATTTCTTTATGTCCTTCCCTTGTGGTCACAGAGAACTATCAATCACCATCATATTTATAACAGCCTTTTGTTATATTCCCCCCTCTCTCTCCCCTCTTTTCTAGACAAAGCCAACCCAATTTCTTCCATTCTTCATGTTTTCTAAACCACTTATTCATGTTCTACCTGGACTCTCACCAATTTGTCTATGGTGCCCAAAACTATATACGGCAGGGGTGCTCAACCTCTGGCCTGAAGGCCAAATGTGGCTCATGGAGCCTTGGAATCTGGCCTGTGGGGCTTCCCATGGGTCAGGAAATTTGGCAGCAGGAGACCAGTGGCAGTTAATACTGCCACCCCTTCCCTGCTGCAAAATCTCAAGTTCTGAGCAGTAGGTCAGAACCGGGCCATGACCCTCCTACTACATGGCCAGATCAAAGCCGGGCTAGGTCCCCTACCCTCTTCATAGTTGGGTTGGAGCCAGGCTGCATCCCCTTCCCCCACATTGGACTGGACCACACCCCTTTTTCACCCTTCCCTCCACCTGGCCAACTCATAGGCCAGGCCATGCCCCCTTCCTCCCATAGGGCCAGCCATGCCTCTTTCTCTTGTACAGCTGGTTAGAGCCAAGCCTCCCCCCATGACCCCTTCCCTCTACCCTGCCCAGTTGGGGCCAGGCCGTACTCCCTTCCCTATGCAACTGGAAAAGGCCAGGCTGTCCATGCAGCTGGATGGGGTCCAGCAGCACCCACTCTGGACACTGGATTGGGTCCACTGGGTAGATCTGGCCTGCAGAGAAACTGGGCACTGTTCATCTGGCTCACTGACCAAAAAGGTTGAGCACCACTGATATACGATATTCTAGCAAAGCTTCAAGAGCACTGAATAGCTCAAATAATTACCTCTTGTGTCTTATATATGACACTCCTGTTATGTGTTCCCAAATTAGATCTTTCTTCTTTGCAACAGCATCACAGTGGGCTTGTCTATACTTCACCCTACGGCAACATGGCAATGTGCTACATCACTCTATGGTGCGCTATGGCAACATAATGATCACGTGTGTTTACACATGTTTAGCTATGTTGCCATAGTGGCACGCTCCCTGAGTATAGTGCACTGCTACAGCAACATAGTGGTGAAATCAACCTGTGCACTGCACATACAGTGCAGTAACCACCCATACTGCACAGTGCTTTAGTACTTCCAAAAGAAAGTACTAAGGCACCTTGCCATAGCAACTTCTCTGTATGGCGACATGTAAATGCAACCAGTGTTGACTTGTATTTAGTTTGTGATCTCCCTAACTCCACCAATTTCATTTTACTGAGTTTAAGCTCCTTCTCCAATTTGTAAAAGTGCTTTTGAATTCCAAACTTGTCCTACAAAGTGGTTGAAACTCTTCCCAGTTTGGTACCATCTATACATTTTATAAGAGCACTTTCTACTGTGTCATCCAAGTCATTGTTGAAAGCACAGATCCCTGTGGGATCCCACTTGAAATATCTTCTCTATTTGACATCAAACCATTGATAACTACTCTCTGACTTTACTTTTCAGTCAGTTATGCACCTCCCTTTTGATATTTTAATATAGTGATTTTTTCTTTGTTTGCCCAGGACACTATCATGTAGGACGGTGGCAAAAGCCTAACAAAAATCAAGATATATCATACTGACTGCTCTCCACTTATCCACTAAGCCAGCCAAAGAAGGAAATTAGATTTGACATAATCTGGTGTTGATAAATCCATAGTGGCTATTTTTTTATTATCTTGTTAGCTTTCAGGTACTTATGAATTGATTGTACCATTTCTTCCAGTGGGCTAGGGACACAAGTTACACATAAACCAGTTTAAGTGATCAGAAACTGGTTTAAACCTGTAACAGACATAAGTTCAGTGCACATAAACCAGTTTCAAAATGGCTGAAATTGTTTTACGATAAACCAGGTTGAATGTAGTATCAGACTTAACTGATTTGGGTCAAACCGGTTTATGAAACTTCTGGGGGTTGGGGACAGCAGCTGGGGTCTGCCTGGCAGGGGCATAGCAGCATCTGCTAGGCTTGCCCCTGCCCCCCCCCCCCCCCCTGCCACTCACTGCTCAAGCAGGGATTCCCCCCACCCCTCTCCCACAGCAAGGACCCCAGCAGCATGGACCCCAGCCACATCACCCCTATCCTAGCTAATGCTGAGAGGTATCTATGCATGTATCTCCAATTTCACTGGAACAAAGGCAGACAGAACAAAGGCAGTCTCCACTTAGGGCTTTCTGGAATTAATAAGAAGGTCAGCTGGTAATGTCTGTCAGCGAGCCTCGCTCCCTTTCTTCCTGAGCAAGAAACCAGTGGCTTGTAAATGCCTTGCAAAATGCCTGTATCCTGTGGTAAGAAGAGCTTGAACTAATGAGTGAGAGGCTTTTGTTTTCTTGATGGGCTGATAAGCTTTGTGCTTTGATAAGTTCCCTGCAGGCTGGTGGCTGCTGGCTTGCTTCAAAGCCAGAGGCATCTCCCACCCTGAAACTCCTACATCAAATGAAGTTTCACTATGCAGCGAATAATGCTGGTGATTGTTTCTATGTATCAATTACTGAGCCTGGTTAGAGTGCAACTTTCCCGTCCCACAATTTGTCAGTGTTCAATAGGGGACAGAGAAAGGTGTGAGAAATTACCTGGTTTGCAATGAATGGGACCTGTCAGAGCAGTCAGCAAATACAAAGCACTAGTTAGCAGGATAATACAGATGCATACAGTCCATACAAGCAGTTCCTCCCTCCCCCACCCTTTGCCTCACAGTGCTAGCTGGGGCCAGGGTCTGGCAACACTCCCTGCCCCTTAAGCTGCAACTGGGGGAAAAGTCTGAAAATGGCTGCTTCCCCTCCCACATCAGGCACACCCCGGCTGGGCACTGTGCAGGCCAGGGTAGGGGTTTAAACCTCTCCCTAATCATAGCTTCCTGCCAAGGCTGGTCACACGCCCCCGCACTCCCCCCCAGCTCAGTACAGTACAGTCACATCATACGTGCATTTAACTTGTGTGAATTCAACTATACACGGGGGGGGGCTTGAGTTTGCAGTGGCGGCAGGAGGTTTTGGCAGCGTGGTGGTGGCCGGGCGGTGCACAGACATCCCCACCACCACCCCGCACTGCACCACTGCCGCCGGCCACACAGCTCTAAGCACAGCTCCGCGGCGACGGCAGGAGGTTTTGGAGGCAGAGGCAGTCACCACTAGTCAAATCGCTGGCACGGTAATCGCGATTTGACTATACGCAATTTTTGCCTTACGCGCTGACTTCAGAACCTAACCCCTGCGTAAGATGTGACTCCACTGTACTGCAGAAGGGAAGAGAGGGCTCACTCTACTGCCCCTGGCCTCTGCCCTGAGCCACTGCAGGCATGTGCCTGCATTTCCTGAATCAAAAAGTGGTACAATCTATGCAAGTTAAACTAACCTGCAAAGAAGGAATCAATTCAGGCTCAGGCTCT